TTGAATGACTGCGGAAGGCTCACGCGTTACAGTCATCTGATACGATGCAGCCGCAGACAGACGTAAGAAGTATTGATCTAAGTGCAACTCACTTAGCCCAGGACTAATTACAAGTCTTCCGTGACTTCTTTTTCGAAGTATCTCATCACACATGTCCATTATGCCACAAAGAAGTCTGAATGTCGTGCGGCATAAATGCTTTTCGCTTCTTTCATAACATTGTGTGCGTGATGTTGGCTTTTTTCAGTGTTGAATACACATAGTTAGGAAAATATCTAAATTTAATTCAAGAAAAGGATCAATTTTGGCATAATTCGGCAGTCTTGCTGAACTGGATGAGCCGCGAGAATGTGCAAACAGGCTCGCGTCTCTTGTTTCTCAAGAGGGTGTCTGTTCGATCGTCTTTTTCGACTTGGTCACTTCTTTTACTGATCTATCGCCATGTTTGCCAACACAGATTACGACAGTCGTTAAAGCTGGATCGAAGCGACTACCGTAATCGGGTCGTGCTCGTCGTAATCGGGTCGTGCTTCCCTTCTCGTCCCTATTGGTGTCGTAATCGATTAGGTATTACTCCTTCAAACAGCTGCTAATGCCACTTCGATCCCTGGACCTCAACTCCGCTTGCCAAACTTTACCCTCCTCTGTATCAGGATGTCTCCATCGATGGCCATGTTAGAATATTGACATTCCCAAATGTAACAGCGGCTCTAATTGGTCAGATTGTTCTCAATCCGCCTGGCACCATGGAATCAAACTGGAGTTTAGTTTCGTACTTCACTTATCTGATTTCCATTCAATAATGACTCGAGAGCCTTACGTTTCGTACAGAAGGTATAGGGTTTCGTAGCGCTCTAAACGCTGACGAAAACTACAAAGGAAGTATTGATCCGTGTTCGTGTCCATATCTGTCAAACGTCTGAGTCATACCAAGGAAGTCGAGAACGTCACCTCACTGTGCCAGGGCTGAATATCTAGTCAGGCAGAAACATATTGTATCCACAAAATCTCCACTCGTGCTTTTTGCAATTTAGATACTGTAATTCCCAAATGCACTCTTCCTTGTATCCTATTCTAATTACAGGATTTCTGTGGGGACTGAAGTTGAAGTGACCCGAAAAAATTAGAACGGTTGCATATGAGACAATAGTAACATTTCTAGGTAGTTCAAACATGTCTTTTCACTTTGAACAAATGACGAAAGACACTTTTACATGTTTCACGCAAATAAGTAATACCCTACCAATCTAATATTGCATACATGGTACTCCTGGGAAGTTGCAAACACATAGGAAGCATGTACGTAAGTACGTGCGATTTCAGACACTATAGGTTCTTTTGTGTGTGTTTTTAAAACCAACAGAGCATTTATAATGCATATTGATGCTTCGGGAAGTTTCTCGAGATTTATGAGCATAGGTTTGACATGTGTGAACATGCATATCGACATATGGATATATTTAAATGCATCTGAACACATAAAATATAAGATTCATTTACATTTCATTTTCAACTGGAACATTGCCATTACCTCGTCAAACAATTACTCACAGATGCATATAGACACACGGGTATTAATAGACAATCATTGTAGAGGTATATAGATAGTGAAATAGGTCCGTGAATACTTCCAGCTTAAGTGGATACATGCATTATCATGCAGTACATGCATGTACATGCAGGACAGGCAGATTTTAGAATGCATTATGAATGCTGGTTTTAACATACAGTGAGTTCTCAACCCATATTTCCTACATGTTCCGCTATCCGTGTTGGTTCCCAGTTTCACGAAGACCTGTTGGTGTAATTGTCTAGCTAGGTTTAATGATCATACACACATGTAACTGACACCCAAATCTCTGTCCGTGTACTGAAATGTCGATTGTAGGAGACCACCACTACCGCCGCCGTTACGTACATAACCCCAGGCAGGGCTGGAGATCGATGTTGAAGGGCCCTTGTCAAGCTACCAATTCACTAATTTCTGGCCTCTCTGCATGCAGCTGATTTGAGAGTGTTTGATCTAGCAGCAGAAATAAATGATACGCTTCGAAACCACAGGTTTATATTTAAAACCGATCGGATTCGTGTAAGATCAATTCCTAGATGAGAGAGCATCCTTACAAGTTATGATTATTGCACAAGATATTAATTGATACAGTGATTGCATGACTAGCCGCCATAGTGACTGGTTATTGCCGATGTGACTCGCAGGCTTAACCGGCGGCCATTATGGATAATTGCTGAGAGTATTAACTGCAAGAAAAACTTTTACATTACATGAACGTCAAACGAATGGCGAGGGCTTGCATATTTCATGCGTTTTTTATGACTGCTTGCACGATGTACGTGCTGGTTGAAGGTGCAGTGATAGTGACGTAATTAATTGCACTAGGTGCCATTGAATCAACCTTAAACTTTGTCTGTGACAAAGATCAGTTGACAAACAAAAAACATGATTTGAATATGTTCATTCGCCTGTGAAATTCACCAACATTTACACTATTTACATGCTCCAGTCAGCCTTAAACATGTCCAATATCCCGGAAAACTCTTTACATTTCATTTAACAAAATATTCACCACACATGGACAATGTATATTCAAAACAATTGAACAAAATTATCTAAATATAATATAACGCATGATGCATACCTTTATTTAATGCACCATTTAATTTCATGCCGATTGTATTTAGATTTCATGCATACTTGCACACCAATTACCAATACTGGCTTCTGTGAAACGTTTGAATACGGATGTTGTTAGCAAAACTGACGGTACAAGTAACGATGTTGCCTAAGAATCAGTGATCAGCAGAGATGGTGTAAAATGATAAAACTATGGTAAAACATATAAAACAGAAAGGTAGGCCTCCGCATCCATGTTAGACTAATGCTTAGTCTCTGAATATATATAATTTTGATAGTAACAAATAAGCCCATTTAAATTGAAAAGGAGCCCCAGGGAGACCAGAGATTCAGCTGAACCTGAGGAAATCTAGACTTGCTTTATTTAGGGCTTTAGCACTTCAGAGAGGGCCAGGCAGTAGGGGAAATCCATGTGTTCATTGCGACAGAAGGCCACGTGTAGCCTTGTTTTAGTATAAATAGCCCAGTTGTGCTTTTGAACCTGTTCATTGCTGTTATCAGAGATAAACTATTTCAACGTTGTTCCTGGATTAGTTACAGAAGAAAGCACCCATTGCAGTAGCTGCACCGAGTGCAAGTAGCAGATGCACGATACGATATCTACAAATATGCATTTTGGGATGTCACGTCCATTTTACCTATCAATACATCTTACACTCCATGGAAATATTTATAAAACCTGTTGGCTTACGGTCTGACATTGAACTAATTAGATAGATGTGTGAGGGTATTTGATAGAAAGCTGGCAGGTAGTTTCTATGCCTGCCAACACCTGTAGACGTGTATTGGTCGACCCACACCATTTGATAATTCAGAAGCAACATCTGGGGGCTATTGGGGAACATATGCTCACAAAGTGTGATTCATATCACGGGGACGGCAAGGTATTGATTCTTGATATCTTGATAAAACAGGTCTGTCACCTTGATTTAATAAATATCGATATAGGTTGTTCGCAGGTTTAGGTTTTAATTGATGACATGGTCACAGTGGGACGTTCACAATGCCATGTGTGCACTTGGCGCATTTTAAGTACAATGCGGATCAATATTGCATTACACAGCACGCACCTTGCTTGCTGCATGCATATCGTCGATGTCGTGTTATACAACGCCGGGAAGCTGTAGCAGAGATTTTACACGTTAATATTTATTGACTCATTCGTTTTCTCTCTATCGTCTACTTATCTATCTCTCCCTCGTTTGCTCTGACTCTCCCTCGTTTGCCTGTCACATCTCTTTCATCACATCTTTTGATCTCACCACTTCTTCCCCTTCCTCTCAGTAATCTTCGATTTAATCTTCATCTTGTCCATCAATCCAGCTATTATCCTTGACTGTCATCTTCTCTCCGCCCATCTGCCCCTTCACCTTTGCTCTTTCTTTCTCTCTATTTCATTCAACCTTTCTTCTGTTCTTCTCATCGATCTTCCCTTCCAGTTTGATATTCTTTTCTTCATCATACCTTTACTCTTTCAATCTCCTTCCCCAACCCAAGATTCCTCTTTTTATATTCTTCCTTCTCTCCATCCCGACATCTGACGCTTTGAAATATGATACCCTCATCAATTTCCAAAACAGTTTGAGCTGATGGGGGACATCCTATTGATAAACATTCGCTCATCTCAAGGAAGGAGTAGGAAAATGCGTAAACCACGAGAAGCATCTCCGTGTCCCTCCTTTGTAGTGTGGGGCGGTAGGGTAGCCTAGTGGTTAAAGCGTTCGCTCGTCACGCCGAAGACCCGGGTTCGAATCCCCACATGGGTACAATGTGTGAAGCCCATTTATGGTGTCCCCCGCCGTGATGTTGCTGGAATATTGCTAAAAGCGGCGTAAAACCAAAACTCAGTCAGTCAGTCAGTCCTTTGTAGTGCAGGGAATATATAGAAAGCGGCGTATAGCAATATGCACTCTCACACCTGTATCCACGCACAACGCTATGTTAGTAAACCTTCTCTTGATAATATAATAAAACTCGGTTTTTATAGCTCAGTGTGACAGTACCACTGACATGTGTACACACTCTTCAACACAACCTACTTCCTGACCTGATATGGCTTAAAACTGCTGTAAAATACTTCAACAGTAATGAGGATATTATCTGGCCGGAATCAGGGCGATCATCTACCGCTCTTTACATAATCACTGGCACAAGACCGTATCCTGTTTGCTTCAGCAATGTGTAAATATCATAAATTATTAGCAATTACGTGATGGCTTGATTAAGACATGCTTCCCTCGCTGGCTGCCTCGGTGTTATTATAAGCCGTGGTGTTAATCGGTTATTATATTACCGTTATTGCTTTGTGAATAATTAATCACACACTCTAACCCTATCTTCTTTGTTTCAGTTCATCGAGAGGACGTATAGAGAAGAAATGGCGAAAGGTAAGATATGAGGCTGTATTCTCACGGTACATTTTCAGACCATTACACATACATTAACCCTCAGTTAGACCCGCATACAAGGTGCATTTAGTGTGCAATGTATTTATAAATTAGAAATACGTACTATCCCTCAGTTTATTTGGAACATACTGCGCAAATATTAAGAAACCGACCAAAAGCCGATTAGCAATTTCATATTTTAATTCTGTTATTACATGGAAGAGCAAAATTCAAAATCCTCGTATGACCAGATGTGCATCAGAAGTTGATCGTAGTTGCATCAGGAATGTAGTAACTGGTGAGGTTATGATGGATGGTAGATGTTAACTGAACTGCGATGTATCAGTATGAGATCTATCATCGTAAGTCCATTAAACTACGACAGATATGTTCCTGGATCCATAAGGATTTATCATTCTTAATGCTATTGGGTAGATCTAACGATACAAAGTCTTGGAACAACGTATACCACACACATGGAATATACCAAATCAGTTTTATAATATCCGCCAATAATGTAACTTAATCAGACCGTTATATCCACACGAACAACTTAGTTATTTGCAAGAATTCCCCAAACTGAAATGCAACTTTTCTTGATGGTATAGGTTTCGTGTTTTTCACACTCAATCCTCAGTACAGTATTTACCGTTATTGTGTGAACGATATAAAACAACACACGTGCAACTGCGGTTACATGCAAGAACGACGCTTTTTCTCAGCTCTAAGGGTAACTACCAGCGTTCTGTAAAGTAAATCTGACTAACCATTGTCTGGCTTAGTTGGTCCTGAGGTCATGACCGCCAACTGCCCGTAACATAATCGTGAAGTTGACCCGTAATAAACTACACCCGTATCTTCCGGCATGTTTTCTGAAAGCTATAAATACGTCTTATTACGTTTACTGTTAACATACTGAGTAAATGAAAACAAACACAAAGAATTTTTTGTGATGTCCTGAAACATGAATTGTATTTTTTAAATATACATATTCACATATACATTTATTATTGGTAAAACCTATTACGGCGTTACAAATGCGTATTCAGGTAACCGTTGTAGCGTAACGTTGCACGACGCGTTTTGAAATAAGATATTCTTGATTGTGAGGGAAGGTAATTACCAACATGCAAATGATGTAATCCAGTAAACATGTCACGGGTTTATGCTAGTTAGAGTGGAGTCAGGTCGATATACGTCACTTCAGAACATTGCTCAACATTTGAAAAACAAAAGCATAGACGCCATGCTCGCTGATGTGAATTCCAATTGTCCTTCCTGTATTCTGTTGCACGAGTAACGATTGATTTTTGAGAAAACTATAGTGTTGAACTGGAGTGATATGTTTTAGCACAAGTTTCAACAAGCTTGTGTTTGTTGTTTTGTTGACGGGATTAGGCTCTTGAAACTAATACGCCATAGGTTGGACTCGGTCATGACCTTCGATATTCTATAGCTCCACTTTGTAAGAAGGTGTACAAATAAATATATGTGACAACTGCATGGCTGGTTTATATTCAAAACCCCAAAGGTTATTCAGCTCAATTGACAACACCTGGATATGCCATCTGTCGCTATGACAATTGTAACAACCTATCTGTCTGCAAGTAGCTGTCTGTCTCACATGTCTCGATATGCTTGTCTACCTGTCACCGAATTTAGAAGTCTACCTGTAGCCAAATACGTTTGTCCGTTATCGAACATATCTGTCTCTATCTATCTATCTATCTATCTATCTATCTATCTATCTATCCACAAAATGTATTTGTCTATCCATCTGCAATTTTATCTGCGCAGAAGCTTCTGGAATATGACAATATTTCCTGCCTAATCTCTCTGCTACAGATGTCCCACATAGTCATGAATGCATCCACTATCCATGCATACGGTGTCCATTCATCCATGCATTAATCCACCCACACGTCAACCATCAATCTGTTCCCAATGGATAGGAAAACAAAGCCGTTTTGATTGCGTCATTTGCCTTTCCCTTTTCCACAATGTCTGGACTTTGAAATTGAATTATATAGCAATTTTCGTGTACATGCATATCCCTTGTTCTCTGCAATATACACACCAATGCATCTTAATAGCCGCTCCACCGAGACTCAACTGATGAGATTGACGTTAAACACTGAGCCAATAGATTAAGTGCTAGCCCCCTGCAAATAGATAAGTACTTTACCTGTATTAAGTCAACACACAACATGCCCAGCCCTCCCACGAGAGTGACCTTTTGGCATCAATGAGATTTCTTCCTGCTGAGCTCCACTGGTGGGGATGCTTGTTTTGGGAAACCCGCGGGAACTGTAGGGCCCACCAAAGTAGAGAGCGTCATCTATGCTTTAGGCTTTATAGGTAATTGGAGAAACTCGGTTGCCTTTTTGTATACACAGTCTGAAATATTTATAATGTTTCATGTGGTTATTGTCACGTCAACAAAGGGGGAATGGCGGTTTGTATGTCAATATTTGTACAAGGAATGTTAAGAATACCATTCCCGCAAGATTCAATCAGATTTTCGTAAAGGAATTGAGCATAAGAGTATAAATCTCTTCTGAAGATCAGAGTGCCAACTGCACGTGTTATGTAGTGTCTCGCGAGATCTCGCGTGGCAGATTTCCATAAGAAGTGACGCGAGATCGATACTGTGTGGCGATCCGTCCGCGGTGTTAAGAATGTACACAGACAACAATGGCCTCCTCTTTTCAAAGTGACCACCTCTGAGGCTGTGCACACTGTTATGTTTGGACTAATTGACCGTCAATGCTCGGCACTCCTGGTCAGTAGACTCAAGAGACTGTTGTGATTTACAGCATTGTGATAACTGTTAGTGTGTGTTGACCTGTCTGGCATGGTCATCAGTCCAGGAGAAACAAGACCATCTACTGCTTTCAGCTGGACAGATAATGCTCCGTCATTCCATGCCATCTGTTTTCACGATAATATTGTACATACTGGTTCTGATGGTAGTAACGATGTCCTTGCTGAAGGCGACTTTTAACGACTTAGGTTTTCCTTTCTCACAGACATAATTTGTTGCTTTTGCGAGAGATACACATAGAGAAATATTATAATCTAAGATATATGAATATAACAAATATGTGATCTATTCATACGGACAAACGCGTTTTAGATTTTCCCAAAAATATATTATTTGTAGTCACAGGTTGGATGGATTAACCGGCATTATAACAAGATCGATATTCAATATGTTTGCGAAACCCTGGATAGGAAGATTAATGACAATGTCCTCAAAATGTACGAAAAAGTAATAATTGCTTCGTTTTGGGTTGAATTGCAATCCCATAGCTGAGGCAACTAAATGTACCGATGATATAGCGATATCTGATATTGATACTTAGGAACATGTCACCTAAAACATCTGTACAAATTCAGCAGTTAACTCAGCCCTCTCACGGCTAAACTGAAATCCAGAGCTTCGAAAAGCAGAGCGTGCTTCGAGGTTACATATCGACGTCACCCGAGTGTTCCACGTGTAAAACAATACCTGCGTAACGACCAATTACGTCACGACAGGAGTTATTGTGCTTCCATAGTGATTCGGCGTGAAATTCGTCTATGATGTGTGTATGTTCTATTGAATTCCTTGAGAACAAACACATACTGTTCTGTAAGCAGCGTTTTGTGGGAAGCCTTCAAACAAAAACCCTGATTTGTTGGCATCCCACGGTTTTAACACATGCTGAAGTTCGCCGCAGCTGTTATGGTGTAAGAAAAACAAATACATTGCGTTGTTTCCTACTTACAGCATAGGTTGCCGGTGTGTTTTATCGCACGGATTTTTTCAACAACCGACAGAGCTGGAATCTGTGTAAAAAAAGCTTGGTTTATATTCGATTATTTAACTAAACAGATTCACAAATCTTCTAAACTCACTTTCAGAGAGTTCTCATCATATATATCAAACTGTCTCCGCTATCACGCTCTTGCCCTCATCTCGTCTTCTTAAATTGATGTTCAATATTTACCCGTCATTTCCATGGAAACAGTTAAAAAACAAGGAAACGAAGCATTAGCGTTCCGGAAATGCCCCTAAGACCCGTTTCTTGGAACTTCCCGCTGGGATGTATCTCCAATCAAGTTTGTGATTGTTGTAGGTGATGGTGTGACGTCATTTGATAAACATCGATGCCGCAGATTGATGTCAATGTTAAAAGCTTATTGAGGTTCTTTTTGTATTTTAAAGTTCTTTGCTACTTTGTCAAAGAACCCAAGAGCTGGGTTCGGCAGATTCTTATGTTCTCGATGATGGAGAGAGAGGGTTTAATCTTTGAGATCATCTCAAGTTCGCGGAGGTCGCTCTCCTTCACGATGATGTTGAGGACTTCATCAACAGTAACATCATCACCTTAACCTTTCATCCTCACCGACTACGGACATGGTAGTGAAATATTCGTTCTGGGCTTCACGTTGGAGTGCCTCTAGATGTAACGGAGGCGTCAACATTGGCATGAACGTTGGCTACAAGAGGGTCGATGAATGAACAAGTTATTAAATATCGGTGTTTCAAAATCGATAAATCTTGTGAAGCTCTGCAGCACCAGCGGAATCCATTTGCTGAGGGGAATGGGGTTGATGTTTTATGGAGCTAGGCACATCAACTACCATCAGGAACAGCCACTGAAGTGCCGTAGTTTATGAACATCGTCGACAATAAATGTTGTTCGAAATGTCTCTAGCAAGTTCGAAATGTGTTGTCTTTGGAACCAGTTTTACGCCGTTGAATCTTTCATGTGCATTTCCAACAACAATGAATGTTTGATGCAGCATATTTATGTCCATTGATGCTCGATATATTACTCGGGATCAGACGTTTTCATGTATAGTAATTTCTAGTTTATTCTCGCAGCACGATGTTCATCGTCCCTAATTATACGAAAGGAAAAAACGTAAGCTGCCGTGATCGCTCAGACCATGTACGCTGTAGACCTCATCTCTAGAAATACCATTTGCTTGAATGATTGTTGTAATATTGA